CCTGTCATTCTGCTGTTCGGTCAATTTGCATATTAGTCTTTTATTATATAGGATTAAACCGTTTTTCAAGGTGGATGCAGTTCAGGATGTCCAGATAAGATCACACTGGATTTAGAGTGGTCCCTAAGTCCAATGACTGGTGGCCTTATAAGAGAAAAGTAGAAAAAAATAAGACACGTAGGGATGGCTGCAACCAGCATACGCCTCTTCAGAGCAAACTGGTGGTAGAAATATTGTCTTGTTACATTTCCCTGTGCACAAACATCTTGCTCCCTTCTGGAACAGCTGATACTTATATATTAGGTCAGTCCATAGTAAAGTGATTACAGAGATTCCTAATGAGCAAACATACTCTAATAATAGGATAATCATTAGCAATTATAATCACCATTATTATCAATATTAACAGCTAATTAAAAATATATGTTTTTCTTGATTTCAGAGAGAGGGAGGGAGAGGGGGTGAGAGGGAGAAACATCAATGATGAGAGAGAATCACTGATCAGCTGCCTCCTGCATGCCCCTTACTGGGGCTCAAGCGCGCAACCCGGGCATGTGCCCTGACCTGGAATCGAACCATGACCTCCTGGTTCTTGGGTCGATGCTCAATCACTGAGCCATACTGGCTGGGCTTAACAGCTAATTTCTGAGTCGTGTTACTGTATGCCGAATACTGCACTAAGTGTCTCATTACATTATTTTATGTCATCTTCACCACATTCTTATGAAGTAGGTGTTTTATCTATGTTACAGCTAAAGAAATTGGCGCATAGCAAGGTTGTAAACTTTGCCCAAACTCACAGCACTAATATATAGAGAGGAGGAATTTGAATCTAGGCCTGACTTCAAAGCTCATTTGCATACCAGATAAACTCTTGCTGACGATGGTGGCACCATCAAAGATTACAAAGAGTAAAATAGCGCCCTATGGGTTTGGCTCAATGGATAGAGCGTCCGCCTGCGGACTGAAGGGTCCCTGGTTTGATCCTGGTCAAGGACACATGCCTGGGTTGCGGGCTCGATCCCCAGTAGGGGGCGTGCAGGAGGCAACTGATCAATGATTCTCTCTCATCATTGATGTTTCTAGCTCGCTCTCTTCTTCTCCATTCCTCTTTGAAATCAATAAAAATATTTTTTTTAAGAAAAGTAAACTAGCAAACTGCCCAAGAAACCAGTAGAGTATGACATTAAATATTTTGTTGTTAATCCTCACCCGAGGATATTTTTTTCCATTGATTTTTAGAGAGAGTGGCGGGAGGGAGAAAGGGAGGGGAGAGAGAGAGAGAGAGAGAGAGAGAGAGACATTGATGTGAGAGACACACATCTATTGGTTGCCTTCTGCAAGTGCCCCAACAGGAGATGGGGATCAAACCTGCAACCCAGGCAGGTATATGCCCTTGACCTGGAATTGAACCCAAGACCCTTCTGTGCAAAGGCCAGTGCTCTAACCACTGAGCACAATTGTCCAGGCAATATAAATTTTTTGTAATCTTCACCTGAGGATATGTTTAGAGAGAGGAAGTGTGTGTGTGTGTGTGTGTGTGTGTGTGAGAGAGAGAGAGAGAGAGAGAGAGAGAGAGAGAGAGAAACACTGACAGGTTGCCTCTGGTAGGGCATGTGCCCTGACCAGGAATTGAACCTAAAACCTTTAGGTGAACGGGACGGGACAACACTCCAACCAACTGAAGCACCTGGCCAGGGCGAGTATGACATTAATCCAAAGGGTAAGTTTCTTTGGCATGATGCAATGTCTTCTTATGTCTATTTTCAAGATTTTTATTGGGTTAAAATGAACCTGCAATTCTTGCGGATCCTAATCGGCTGCCCTGTTTACCCTCAAGCTACACTTGACAAATGATATTGTACCTTTATAACCTTGACATTTATTCGGGTTTGAAGAGTGCAGCTTGCTCCTTGAGAAAAGAGAGTACATAGACTCCCAGAGTGCAATGAAAAATTTCGTGTTTTGTGTGCATAAACAGAGCAAGGCCACGGGAGATGGGAGCGAGAGACACCCGGGAGGCCAGACAGACACAGAGGTTGGAGAGATGCATCCTCAAGGCAGGGCCGCCTGGGAGAGAGGCGGACGGAGTCCCGGAGCCTCAGAAGGAGCCAGCCCCGCTCAGGCCGTGACTGCAGACTCCGGCCTCCGGAGCTCCGAGAGAATCCATCTCTGTGGTCTTCAGCCAGCTGGCATGGCCATTTATTACAGCCGCCCTCGCGGACGAAGTCAGTGGTTGGACCATTTTTCATGGTGGGACTTTTTGAGATGGTGTTTGTTGGGCAAGTGCGTGTGGATTGATGCCAAGCAGCCCAGAGCGGCATGGACTGGGGCATTTGCTACTTTGAAGGACTGTCCCTGTCTACTGCCATCTGATTCTGTTGGGGCTGTCAATCAAGGGACCCTTATGTTCTCTGCTAAAGACCATATGACTGCCGGAAATGAATTCCCAGCTGGGCCAGAAAGGGTGATGCTTCGCTGGCTGGTTTGGCTCCGTGGATCGAGCGTCAGCCTGTGGACTGAAGGGTCCCGGGTTCGATTCCGGTCAAGGGCATATGCCAGGGTTGCGGGCTCGATCCTCAGTAGGGGACGTGCAGGAGGCAGCCGATCAATGATTCTCTCTCATCATTGATGTTTCTGTCTCTCTCTCTCCCTCTCCCTTCCTCTCTGAAACCAATAAAAATATATTTAAAAAGAAAAAAGGAAGAGTAAGGTCCTGCAGGGGAGGGAGGTCGGGGGAGCCTGAGCCAATCCCTGGTAGGATGGTCAGGGGAGGGGAAGTCAGTCATGGCTGGGGGTTGGCCCAAGAGCAAGCTTGCTAGCTGGACACAGGATTGGCCGGAGGTGGTCGTCCAAGACCTAAGTGCAACCAATCAGAGACCCTGACTTTGTTTCCCCTGAAGTTACCTGGCCTGACGGCGATTACAGCAGGTGTTGTTAATTTCCTACCCAACCATCCTTCCCCTCTCTGTACTTAATCGCCCCGATAGAGACGGGAAAGGACAGATGCTCACTTCCCCAGACGGCTTTCCAACACCGGGTGGCCGTCACGCCCGGTTCTGGTGAGCGAGAAGTAGGGAGAACGCTTCTAGGGAGAAAAACAGACCGACACGGAGGGGAGACCCTGTCCACAGTTCCTGTTTTCGCTGCCTCCCTGTGAGAACAGTGTGAAGACTGCTTGTACTCAGGACGGGAAGGCAGACCGCATCTCAGAGACGCCAACCCGGGGACACTGTGTCTTTGAAAGGTTTGTTATTTGGGCAAAAGCAGTTGCTATCATTTCAGCTCCTGCCATTGGAAACGCAGCTGAAGGCATCGTGACGGAGGCAGCAGGATAAGCCTGGGGCTCCAAACGGCCATCTTATTACCATTGCAAAGGCTTGCTTGGGAACAGAGCCAATAGCTAAGCAGGGTCCTTCAGCACCTGGATCCAGCCGTGCCTGAAATCCTCTGTATGCTCAGACTTGCCACAGACAGGGGTCTTCCAGTCCTGCTGGAGGTCATGGTGGTCTGGGTTGCATTTTGTGTCCTATGATCTTAGCGAACCTGGCCAATGGGACATTTACAAACTGAGGCTCAGAGAGACCCATTCAGTTGCCAAAGGGGATGGGACATGTGTCTGCACCCGGAGCCAGGATGTCCGGCCCAGCTGCCAGGTCCCAGAGAGGACAGGAGCCGGGCGGAGTGAGACCCACGGTGTTTATTCTGGTGTTGATAGCAGCAGCAGTGGGTGGATCGGCCAGACGCGGGGGTGGCGCACAGAGGGGTAGACCCAGGTGTGTGTGTGTCTGGGGGGACACGGAGGATTGGTCCGTTGACATTCATGGTGAGCACGAGGGTCAGGACACCAAGTCTTGAACAAACAGCAAAAGACAGAGAGACAGACGGAGGGCTTGGGGGGCTGGGGTCCCCCAGACATGCACGGCCCCTTGCCTGGAAGGGGAGCCCCAGGGAAGGACAGACAGACACAGTGGAGACTGAATGCCCCCGCCCTGAAACAGGGGGCTGGGCCCAGGGCCGCCTGCCCTCCCGCCTCCTGGGGGGAGAAGGATGGGCGGGCCCAGGGCCGCCCGCACCACGCAGCTCGGACGTTATGGCTTCGAGGAGATGAGTTCATGGTCCGGGCAGGAAGGAATGGGGTCCTGAGGGGCCTGGTCCGATCCCGGGCTTAGGCCAGACCTGCAGGATGGGCAGGAAGATGTCAGTGATGGCAGAGAGCGGCCCTGACCTGCCCGTGGTTCCATCACACCCCAGGGACTAGGAATGCGGGCCCCACCCCTCCTCCCTCAGACCCAGGATCTCCGACCCCAGCCCCTCCTCCCTCAGACTCAGAAGTGTGGACCCTAAGTCCCCCCTCTCATCTGGATCCCTTACCCCTCACTCTGAATTCTCTTTCTCTGACAATCCTTTGCCACCTTTTGTGAAGCTGGTCAGAGTCTTTTCCTGAAACGGAAAATTCAGAAGGTTCAGGAGGGCGGGGCAGAGGCAAAGCTGTCACTAACCATCAGCAGGAGACCCACCAGCTGTCCTCAGTCAGTGCTCTGCCCTCAGCTCTGAAGAGATGGGGCAAGTGGAATGACAGCCCCTTTTACAGACGGGGAAACTGAGGCACAAAGGTACAGTCACTGGCCTGGCTGGCGTGGCTGAGTGGTTGGGTGCCGACCTATGAACCAGGAGGTCAAGGTCCAATTCCCAGTCAGGGCACAGCCCAGGTTGTGATCTCAAACCCCAGTGGGGGGGCACGCAGGCGGTCAAGGTCCAATTCCCAGTCAGGGCACAGCCCGGGTTGTGATCTCAAACCCCAGCGGGGGGCGTGCAGACGGCG